CAATTATCTTATTTCCAGCTATAACCTAAACACAGATTGCTCAAGTTTTGAAGTTCCCMGTAGTATGAGAAAAATCTAAGAAAACGTGTATAAGTTTGATCTACAAAATTGTAGATTCCAAAAAGGAAAAAGTATCAACTTCTTTTAGTCTTTTGAATAGATGAAAAGTTGAGCTCTGAAAGTAAGATATCAAACTTCCAAAGATACCAAATATCTAACCAGGCTTGATTTTACAGGAAATAGAACAGTTCAATTTACTCTGCAAATACAAAACCTATAAAGATTCAAGCTCTTGGGTTTGCACAAATGCTACTTTTTCTTATACAAGAATATTCCAGCATTTATCTTTCAGCTCTTCACCTTTGAAGAGATCAGAAGTTACATTATTTTTGTAAGTAGCAGAACTTTAAAAGTTTCCAAATATCTATGKCATGATAACGTGGTGGTGGATGCGGCAGGGCTCTCAAGTTGAAAGCCTCGTGCAGTCCTGCCCTGTAGCACAAGCCTGTAGTCTGGTAGGGACAAAATTAAACATTTCTGTTGAACTGTGCAGCGTTCATGTTCACCTAGATACAAATGACTATCTAGCTTCATTTCAACTCGTTATTATGGAACAATATTTATGCAGAATTCTTTTTATTTTTTTATCCCTCCTAGATCTACCAATTAAATATAAGTAGTTCTTTAAAAACAGAAATATATCATTAATTTACTTCTCTTTTTCGTTAAGAAGACACTTCTAAATAAAAAGCATTTGGAGTGACGGATTTGAAGCAGATGCTAAGATAGTTTGGCGTGGTATCGTTGGCTTGGTATTCTTGAGACCATGAGATGAATCTAGCTTAAGGCCAGGGTCCTCCACAGAGAAAACTAGATTTATGCCCAGGTAGTTGGCAGATGTCTTGCAGTGGTTACATTTTACCTAACGAGGAATCTGTGGAGGGGGTTCTGTCTGTAGCGCTAAAATAAAGATCAAAGGGAAATCACTTTTACTGCAGTAAGCAAAGGTTCACTAGACCCTAAGACAACCTTAGGCAAAAGCTAGCCCAAGGAACCTGACAGAACCCAAACCAGCTGCTGTTTTGGTCAAAAAGATACGAGTCTAAAATGAAAATCTCATCTCAACTCCAATATTTACCCAGAGAGCAAACAAGTCTCTACTGAAGAACATTACATTTCTTACCTTGGCAAGCAGCAAGGACAGAGCTTGCAGTGGTCTTGAATAATACTCCGTAATTAGTACCTCTCCCTCCAGAGGCCCTAGATAAATGTCAGGAAGAAGGTGAATCAGTCTCGTTGCTACAGCAGTGACTAACCCACGAGCTGAGCTCCCACACTGCCATCCACCAGGCSGCCTAAGGCCCGTCTAAACTTCATGCAATTTACTTTGCAAAGGGAAGAAGTCGCCTTTAGTGATGGAGAGACTGGGTCTCGCCTAGAAAATGGTTTCAGGCTTAAGCAAGAGGCCCTCGTGCCGCCCGAGGCCTTCCCTGGCTTCCCGCCCCATCTGCACACACGTGGGGATGGAAACCAACGTGCAGCCCTTGCTAGGAGAGGCTGCAGAAAGGCCCAAGCTGTCACAGGGTCTCTGGCGTATCCTAAAGCCAATATGTTACTTTTTACAAGCTTTTCTTGTTTGTTGTATTTCAAACCTGTGAATCTCACAACAAAAACCCTGCAGAAGACACCAAACGCACCCAGAGGGCCGTACCTGCCTCCATCTCGCAGGGGTAGCCGGCCCGGCCCCATCGCGCTCCCTTCCACGCTCCCCTTGCTGGGATATGCGGGAAGGTGCTCTCAGGAAGAGGCCCCGGGCACTCGCCTCTGCTCCCTGGCAAGTCCCCACTCGCTTCACAGGCTATTGGCATCTGTGTGCGGGACACAGCGATTTTCTTTGGAGAGTCACTTCAAAGTTCAACTSTGTTCTGAAGCAAAATTAACAATAATCACAACAAAAAGGGCAGTGGAAAATGTGTTTTACATTGAACACTGTTTTGGTAACTTCTAAAAGAATGCATTCTGAAATCATATTATTCCTACATTAAAAAAAAAAAAATTGTTTTACCACAAAGACAAAATTTTGCACAAGCTTCCCCCCAGCTCTTCACCCCAACTCCCCCTCCGAGTGAAACCTTTCAGAGAAACGAAAACCATTTTTTTGGATCTGTTGTCTCAAACAATGACAGACTGTTACCATGTTAAAGTATTTAGGACAAGATGCACCATGAGACTCCTCCTCTACATCTGCAAGTGACCAGAGGGGTGGTTGTACCAGGATAATTTTGAGAAGTGTCCAAAGACAACGAAGTTTTCTTCCTTTGGTGTTCCTTGTACGTGGTTRCTTGGCCGTTCTCTCGTAAGACAGATGCAGACGCAGCTACAAAAACAACTTTGATTATATTAAGGCAGCTGCTAGTTGCACCCATTTGCTGTGCCTCATTTACRGTGACACAACACCCAGCTGGAAACTTGTAGGCCCCGCAACAGGCCTGGCCCTTCCTTCAAGGTGGATTGCTTGTTCACTGCACGGTTCCTCTGCTTCACAGAACTGTTGGGGAGCTGTGCTTTACCAGAAACCAAACCCTCACTAAGCTGAACATAGAACACCTTAATCCTAAAGGAAGAGAGCTCTAGAAACCCTTAAGATCAACCTCAGTGGCTTTTGGGGAACAGTTTTGCTCCCACCTTTCTGTTCAGTAGAACCTGCCTTTAGACACAGGCTGGTGCAGATGCACTCACAGCTGAGGTCATGCTCCATTTTGCTTCCTCCATGCCCTTTTCTCCCTAAATATTCATATATTAAATATAACTGACAGATCTACACATATCACAGGATGCATTTTTTTTCATGGCAGCATGAGGAATTTTCTTTGGTCAAGGAGCTGAGATCTAAATGTATTCTGGTGTCAACAACCCTTCTTTCTTAATGGTGCTCTGCAACTTTCCCTCTAATCCAAAACATAGGAACTTGACTCTTGGTTTATCTTGAGATTGCACTTTGGACTATGCAATATGCTTAAAATAAAACAATTTATGAGTGTTTTGCTACATGAGGATTTTCAAGCATTTCATGCTATCAAGCCTAAGCAGCTAGAAATATTATCCCTCCAAGCTTTAACAGTCTCAGGAACAGAGTCCCTGTTTTACTTTGCTCTCCAAAATAAAATAAGTCTGGCCAGGAGGTTATGAAATGTTCTCCTTCTATGGACACCTTGCTGAGATTAGAAATGTTTATCTTTAAAGACTATTGCATAGGAGCTGCTCCAGGACACCGTCTTAGTCGAGACCCAAACAACTGAGTCTCTTCATTTACATTCATATTAAGCAGTAGTTTCTGAGGAGAAACCAGGACTGGCCAATCCCCTGCTTAATATCTGATTATTCCAAGAGTTGATCTGACCAATTCAGCCCAAGATGCATTCCCCAAATCATCAAAACCGTAAAAAGTAGCAGGGATTTCAAGCACTGCTTTGCATGGATGAAATTTGCTTCAAAATCATAAAAGAAACAAGTAAGAAAGCAGCAATACACACAGATTCCCCTCATACATTTTCATAAGGGCTTCATACATTTTCATGAAGTTCCCTTCTGGCCTGAAAGACTAGTAATAAAGTGTACTTTTGTGCTATTATCCCTGAAAATAAATTAATTTGGAATTCAATTTTGTATGTCAGTTGAGTAAAGTACAAACAGGATGTTCTTACCAAGAAGTTGCAGGACCAATCACTGTCATAGAGGAAGCTAGAGTTATTTTACAATGCTTCTCCCAAAACATCTAAACACCTTCCCTTAAAAGCAGCAATTAACAGTATATTGTTGGCTGTGCTTCAGGCAAACCATGACCATGCAGTCTGCAGGATGGTCTCACTGTGAACGAGGTCCTCCAGATGCACATTCCTGTTGTCCAGGATGCCACCACTGCTATAGGCAGGCCCCAAAATACTCAAGGATGACCCTGTATTCCAAGRGCTCTCATTAAGATCTGCACAAGTTTTCCCAGCAAGATGTCTGCAGAGTTGGACATGTATACATCAGGTGATGGAATTATTCTCCTCTCTTTTCATCTAAAACGTTACTTGTTCTGGAAATCCTCCAGGAAGCTTCCTCACTTCATAGGATTTCTCAGTGCCGATAGTGCATTATGAAGCACCAAATCTTTACTGGATTCCTTTGATCACTCCAGGCTTTGCTGTTTTCATGTAGGAGCCTAAAATCAAAAGCTGGTCGGACTGCAGAGATTGGGAAATTTCAAGGTGGCCACAAAATACTTAGGTTTACAATATTTAACTGCAATCACGTAACACACACATATCTATGAGAAAGATAATGCAATAATCACTCCAGCTCATGGTATGGTCATATTTTATTTTTTTAAAAAAGATTAAGTCAAAACTTTCAATGAAAAATGAAACAGATTTAGTCTGAACCCTTTTCCAAACATGCTCACGTAAGCACAGTGAAAGTCAATCTCAGATAGGAAACAACTGTAAACTAAGGTTTATATTGCCATATCAAAAGCTGAATTAAATAAACAATCAACAAGCATCACATCTTTCCTTCAAAAATTGAGAGGCTGTGAGCAAAGCCTGAACTCTATWACATTCTCTTCAGTTAGAAGGAATATGAACTAAAAGGTTTAGCAGAAAARAAACTGCAGGAATTGAGCTAGAGGATGAGATAGCTTGGAATTTCTCTAACAAATTTCTCATTCCTTTTCAAGAAAAGAGAAATATTGACCAGATGAAGGCACAACTGGACTACTCTGATAAAACGTATTGTGGCAAATCAGTTACCTGAGAAAAAGTCATCAGTATTGCAGAAATCAAGTTTTCAAATGACATTAGAATACTCCAGTACATTTTGGAATATGTGATCCCAATGACCAGCCAGAGATCTAGGAACACACATTTGTAAATTACAGTGCTAAATGTAAGCACAAAAAATACACAAAACAGTTAAAAGGCACTTTCACCTGGCACAGGTCTTGCTATAGGCTACAGGCAGCGAAGTCCGATACAACATACTGCTTGGAACCAGCCTAACAATCAGTGTGATAATGATATATACTATTACACGTGAAGAATTGAGTACATACAGAGCCAAGCTGCAATGCCAGCTTAGTTAACACAGCGAGAAATATGTATTTCTTCTGATGTAAACAACAACATTTTTAGTAAAGACATTTTCATTTTAGACATTCTTGTATCTGTTTAACATTATTGTAGGCAAGATATACAATACTGTCTACAAATTAGAAGGCACTCTGTATTATTAGTYAAGAAACAGTGAGGGTAAGATGTTTTAGAAAGAACTTCCCAGGTTGTCTAAAGCTACACAAAACTGCAAATATCTCACTAACTGCACACCTAGGCAAGCCAAATATTTGTATGGAAAAGGCAATTTAATTCCCCCTTAGTCCACTGATACATAGACACAGAAACCAAGGGGCATTCCAACTACAGCACTCAAGTGAACTGTGCTATTTTCCAGTTTTTAAGAGGTAATTTTAAAGACTACTAGGTGATGAAGAAGGGTAACTTGCATAAGAAATCAAGGGCTGATCTCCACCTTTGTTTCAACATGGTTGTTGATGCCATCACCTTCATTTCAACATGGTTAAAGCCACTATATGTATATATATAGGCTTACCTTATGGATCACTCGTATATCTTGCACTCCAGAGAAACTGTCTGCTGAAAAGAGACAGTTTTGCTTCTTTTTTTATCCTTTATTTAATAAACCAGCAWCTCTTATAGGCCAAGTGCAAAGCATTACTACATGGCTAGATCACCACATCATTATTTTTTCATTGCACCCTCACTCTTCCTTGGAGTCCAAAGGTGCAAGATCTTTGTAAAACAYGAGCACTACAGGCATTGCAACAGAAATGCAAATTGTTTTAGGCTTTCAAAACTCTTCCTATAAAAAAGCAAAGCTAACAGTATTTGCTATAGGTCCACACAGTGGTACAGAAGTATTTAACAGCAGTTTGAGAACAGAGAAAAACACCCGTAACGTTACTTCTGAACTAGAAGATCACGAGCTCAAGTATTCACAATGATTTACATGAACAGGACTCTTTTGGGCAGCAGAAAGGATCTTTGCATGGCCACCAGCATGCTAAATGTGTTGCATTTTCCAGGAGGAAGTGGTAGAAGTGGCACTCAATGTCCCCTCCTGTGCTCAGACGCTAGGAAACAGAGCCAACATCTGTGCAAGGTGGAGCTGGCTTGAACATGGCCCTCGAGAAGTCATCAGCTTGCACACAGGACAAATCTCTTGTGAGAGAGGAGGAAATCCTGGACAAAATACTCTTGCCTTGTTTATTGCCACAGTTTTAACCCAGTACCATTAGGAATCCATTTTCCTGATGTCTTGATGATCAAAAAACAAAACAAAGAGGATGTACCTTTGTYGTCTCTTTCACAACTGAAAGCATGTATGTTCCCGGAGAACATCTACTGCTTTTGAGTTTGCTAGATATTCACTCTAAAATTGGAACCTACCAGCAGCTGAAGTTAAAACAACAAAAACAATATAAAAATAACATACTTAAAAATAATACTCTTTTTTTTCCCCCCTCCTTGAGATCCTTGCCCATGCAGGCCTTCAGTAGTTCATAAGAAACTGCTATACTTGGCACAAAATTACTCCTCTGAACCATCCTGTTCCTTGWTTTCCAGCAAGGATGTGCTCGTGTCTCCATTACTTTTCTCATTTGCATCTCCCTCCTTCTCTGGTTCCCCCAATTTCTGGTGAGCAAATGTGTAAGCGTCGTGGTCTGTTTCTGTCAGATGTGGAGGTTCCTCTACACTAGGAGAGAGTTTAATGTCTTTTCTGAAAGACAGAGGAGGTGGAGAAGGTGGCAAGCTACCAACGGGGCCATCGAAAGGCCGGTACACATCAACTTCTGGGCCAAATGAGCCGTTGGATTCCTTCAGCAGGTGCCCGTAGACCATAGCATCATCAATCACCGCGTAGACGTGAGACTCGTTGTTCTTCCTCCCTTTTTTGAATAATCCCTGTTTTCCAGGCATCTGGGTATTCACGTTGGCATTGTACACTCCCACCATGGGATTCTGGTTTTTCTTCTTCCTGCTACCAAGTTGAAAGCAATGCATCAGGAAAAATACATGGCTGGTGCATGTAAAGCAGATAATGACAGCTTCTATTTACCCATTTCAGCTTCTCAGTATTAGACAGTTCACCTGGACTGAAGACTACACTGCAATCTTATGAAGAATCGCTCTTGAGTCTAGACATGCTTCCAAATAYAGCACTTTCTTAACAAAACAGAAAATAACTCTTCAGTATTCAGTTTCATATTTCTGCTCTATTGCCTTTGGAACTGGCAAGATTAACTCCAGCAATCTTCCAACCACGCTGGGCACCAACTCTCTTAAAATGCACAGATATTAACTGGACCTAACTGACATCAGACCCTCACAAACTGAGGCTGACTTAACCAGGACAAGTCAGCTGGAAACACTTCTGAAAGCCAAATTACCTCTTGCTGTTAATGGCGTGACCATCACAAAAAATGGAAGGACTGAAGGCTGAGCTGAAGATTCAACTCACCTTTCCAAAGCCTTTCCTGAGTAGCTGAGCTGCACGTCTGCAAAGCTCTAGTCACCATTTTGGGTAATTTTGTCCCCACTTTACAGCTCCAGGATCCAATTACCCTGCCAGCACTGAACACGTGTGTTTCAGAAACCCCAAGCTACCAATGGCTTCAAACTCTCCTTGCATGAGTAACGTTACATATACTTTACTCTCTACAACCTAGTTCTTTCCCAAAGGGCTCATTCATCTTTAAAAAGGGCTCCTCTTTGGTGTGCAAACCCAGAATAAATTGCTACAGGCTGTCTTGAAGATAAATAGCTCTTCTTGTATCTGACTTGTCTCCATGCCATTCTACAGGCACACAATAAAGAGGTTCTCACTTTGGTCTATYCTCAGAAAGTAAAATTCCTCTGACCATGAGGAATAGAACAGGATATACTCTTTAAAAAAGAGAAGTCTTAATTTAATGATTTAGAATCAATTTGGGGACTTTGTCTCAGGGTAATGATGCATAAGCTTGGCTCTAATTTCCAGAAACCAGCAAAGGAAGTTTAAAGCTTTTTTGAAGAACTTTGCAYGGTGACAGCAGAGCAGCCACATTTATTGCAATTTCACAGCAGCCTTTGATTAAATCCAACCAATACCTTCCTTGCAGGACARCCAGAAGCCCAAGCTATTGCAAAGCTTGCTGCTAAAGCCAAGCATGGGCGAGTAAAACAGCATTCTTGTCACTTTAACCCCCACTATACTGCTTATCTTATGCTTCCAACCCTTGTCCTAAGGRCAAGGACAACATACATATCAACATCTGAAATAAGGAGGGTCCAGTGACTCTCCAGAAATGTCTTATTGAATTGCAGTCACAGATACTGAATTAGGAACTTACTTCTTCCTGACGCAGCACACGACGAGTCCAATGGCCACGAGGAGTCCAGCCCCAGCCACCACAGCAATTATCACTGCGAGATCTACAGGCAGACAATAATGCACAGGAACACCGAGTGAGATGCAGAAAATACTGAGATTTCTTCTAAAAGCCAATTGGATTTGAATGTTTTCAAGATTGCTAAGAGCACCAGCTGTAGGCAAAGCAGGAGGTCTCAGACTGTGCTCACCTAGGGGTGCACAAGCCACTTTTAAGCAGTTTATGGCCAAGCAAGGACATGCTGCTTATTGTTTGGGGAGGAACACAGCCAAATAAAAATTAAAATAAAAAAAAAAATGCTCTGAACCTTTGGGGTAAGAATTCAACAGTTAAACTTACCTCCTGTGTCTCATATGCCTCTGACTGGATAGGTAAGATACAGGAGAAAGTRTGGGGAGAGACAGATAAAGATTCAGTAAATAAAGTAGTTACCTCTCACCAGCCTCCCATGAGTACAGTTTTCTTCTGTGAGGTATGAATGAAAACCCCAAGCCACCACAGCTATGAATTGTAAAACTCATTGGGAAATTGGAAACTGGAAAACTAGACTTTTTGGTCTAGTTGGTCCTCCTCTAGTAGAAAATCAGACCTTTTGATCTAGTTCTACAGACTTCAGTAAACTCCCAAAGATGAGAACAGAACTGCTCACATACCTAGACTGGTGGCAAGTTGGAAGCAAATTACATAGTTTGAGCAAAGTCTACCCTAAAAAAATAAAAAGACATTTCAAATGACTTGTGTTGCAGGGAGATGAAAGGACAGGAGGAATATAGATTTTGTCACTGGCAGTCCGGGTGCTGCCCACTAAATGGTGAGATCTGCCCAAAGGAGTATTTCATACTCACACAAACGTTRAAACTAATGGAAATGCAAACACTAGGTGAAGACTAGGAAGGAAGGAAGGAGGAGGAAGCTTGCATAACCAAATCCCAAGTCATTCACTAGAGGGCACTTGAGAGGACAAAACATCACTTSATCACATGGCTGTGATCTCCAATTCAAAAACTGAAACAACCTGACTAATCAAAATCCCTCCCTGCCTCCTCCAGCTTTAAAGGTATGTGAAAAAATATCTTCCCATGCTCTGAAAGTGCTCATCCAGAACTCAGAGAGGTCCTGACTAACAAAGACAAGGTCTGCAGCACAACAGCATTCATTACTGTTCTCACGAATGGAAAGAAAGGCAGCAAGTGGCACAGGAGCCCCCACAACCTTACGGGACTCACCCATCTTTTTCTCAGCAAAAGTCACCCAGAACTGCAAGCTGAGGTGCGTCCTGTCGGCAGGCTTGCAGTTGGAGACGTTCACCCAGAAGCTGTGGTACATGTGCAGGGGCTGGGGCAGAGCCTCGTCCTCGCGGCGCACGGTTTCCTCCGCGCCGAGCCTCTGCTCCTGGATGTTCACGTAGGCTCGGCCCGTCTCGCACGCAACGCCCAGGCGCTCCCTGGAGAAGCCCAGGCGAGCGACCTGCTTGCTGGGCACCRCCACGTACCACGAGATCGAGACGTAGGGAGGCAGCCCGTGGGGCCCGCTGGGCGCCTGGAGGTAGAGCTTGGCCCCTGGGTCTGGCCTCACAGTGAACGTGCATTCATCTGCAGCAAAGAARGGAATACAGGAATGAGAACTCACCTCGTTTCAACACTTCGTTTCTAAAGCTTTTTCTTTCAGCCTATTAAATTATCTACCTTTCTCTTTCAGCTGATTAAATTATCCAGTCTGTCTTCTCCGTAACAAAAATGCATCACTTATACCTGCAACCAGCCAATTTATGCAGCCAGTGGCACCTCAGCACCAGCAACACAAGTCACCTGCCACCTCTTYCACACCAGTAATTTTCACAGTTAGCACAGATGGATCTGCAGAATTTGCCACAATCACCTACCTACCTTCTGGATTACAAGGCATTTTTCTTTCCTCAAGAATTTCCTCAAGAATTGCCCCTGAGCAAGTTTGCAGATGACACCAAGCTGGGTGGATTGGCCGACACTCCGGAGGGCTGTGCTGCCATCCAGAGGGACCTGGACAGGCTGGTGAGTTGGGCTGAGAGGAACCTCATGAGGTTCAATAAGGACAAGTGCAGGGTCCTGCACCTGGGGAGGAATAACCCCAGGCATCAGTACAGATTAGGGGTCGACCTGCTGGAAAGCACCTCCACGGAGAGGGACCTGGGAGTTCTGGTTGACACTAAGTTAACCATGAGTCACCAGTGTGCCCTCGTGGCCAAGAAGGCCAACGGGATCCTGGCTGCATCAGGAGGAGTGTTGCCAGCAGGTCAAGGGAGGTGATTCTGCCCCTCTACTCAGCTCTGGTGAGGCCGCACCTGGAGTACTGTGTGCAGTTCTGGGCTCCCCAGTATAGGAGGGACGTGGAGCTTCTGGAGAGGGTCCAGAGAAGGGCAACCAGGATGATTAAGGGAATGGAACATCTCTCGTATGAAGAGAGGCTGAGTGAGCTGGGCCTGTTTTCTCTGGAGAAGAGACGGCTCAGAGGGGATATGATTAATATGTATAAGTTCAGGAAGGGAGAATGCAGGGAGGAAGGGGACAGGCTGTTCTCACTGGTGGCCAGCGATAGGACGAGGGGTAATGGCCACAAGCTGAAACACAAGAAGTTCCATCTCCAGGTGAGGAGCAACTTCTTTACTGTTAGGGTGACAGAGCAGTAGAACAGGCTGCCCAGGGAGGTTGTGGAGTCTCCTACTCTGGAGGTCTTCAAAACCCGCCTGGATGCCACCCTGTGCCACATGCTSTAGGTGTGCCTGCTTGAGCAGGAAGGTTGGACTAGATGATCTGTAGAGGTCCCTTCCAACCTTAAATATTCTGTGAATCTGTGAATCTGTGAATTAAATAATACTACTGGTTCAAATAAAGGTTGGTCTGAGGAATCATACCAGAATTACAAGCAAAAAAAGGGAAATCTGATTTCTTTTTATTCATGTACATATGAATAAATGTATTGAAAGATACAACAGTGGAGAAAGGGGTACAAAGAGCTACCTTACCTTTAATATGTTGCACAAAAGACATTTTCAGATCCTGACGACTGGAGTCATTAAGGAATCCTTTACCGAATGTTTTTAAAGATATGGTAACATTGTTCCTCATCTGAATCTTTTCAATAGACCCTCCAGGACAGAAGACACCAACGTTTAAATCCCTCTCTGGGGTGGCACTGTTGATGCTGTAACTGTAGCTCGTGCTGCACCTCTGCTCTTGGACGTGTTGCTGAAGTTTCGAGGTTGGAGACGTAATTTCCACATTGATCTGCTCCGGAGCCAAGAGCTTCCAAATAAACTTATGCAGTCGAACTGGCAACTGGGTAATAGCCTTGGGCACCGAAAGGYTGTAGATCTTCCCTTGGCAGCGCCAAAAATCAACGCAGCCTGCAATCACAAGCCACACACCTTTATTTTGCTTGCAGAGGAAATACCAAGGAAAACCAAGCATTACCAGAGCATACACAGAGAGTTCTGCCACTTGTGCATGTCAAAGCCACATAAACATTGACCTGAGAGGAACACATTCATCTGAAGGCACTGCCATAGACTTTTCTTTCGTCACTTTTAGTGACAATTATTAAAATAAGTTATTACCYGATCAAGGGCTTTCCTTAAAATGCTGCAGGACAAAAAACTACAAACATAAATGTATGCAAAATTCCTTAATGCATTATTTTTGCTATATCAGTTACCTACTGGGACACTGCTATAGACCAGTTAAGTAATGTGGTTAAGGTGCAGATATGTAATTTAAAACTCTTTCTCTACAAGTATTTGAAAGCATTTGGGAAAAACCCATGCCAAGCAGACATGCAAATGGCATAAGACACTCTCCTGATGGCAGCCATGATCCTACATCTTAATGAGCAGATTTATGGCTCTTCTGTTGCCATTTTTTTATAGTTTTTAGTAAGAATATTCTTTACGGATGGTATTATCTCCTTTCAAAGTACAACTACGCTGTTTCACTTTTAAGGGTACAATAAAGCAGTGAACAACATGGCCCCATTTCCAGCCATGCTTTATTTGAAGCAGAAGCAAGAGACCAGGCTTGGCTGATCATCACTGCAAAGTGCCCAAAAGGAAAAGGAAAAAGGTCAGTTCTCAAGGAACGAGGGCGGAAGCCCCCTTGCCATACTTATTTGTTTTTCAGCCGTGATCCTCAGGCGGGCCAAGTCTTTGCACAGGAAGGAAATCTTGTAGACGGCACCAGACACCAAAGTGAGGGCGCGATCACAGCTGCGAGGATCCCTGCAGACCAGGCAGATGGGTTCAGAGCCGAAGGGGCTCCAGCTGGGCCACCCTTCCGGGTGTATCGTTACAGTCATATCCCATTCCCTGCTCAGATCAACCAAATGGGTGACATCTGCAACAGAAAACACAAGTATTTCAGAGCAACTACTAGCAAAACCTGTGGGGTGAAGTGGAACTTCTCCCTCTCTTCCCCTTACATTAAATGAGCAGGTGTTACAGGTATTTTTATACTAGCAAATAAAACATCTACTTATTTTGATCAGTGTAATACAAACACAGGAGATATCCTGTTCTTCAAATATAAAATTTCAAGACTTTTGCATACAGACCCCATTTCRTTACATCTTTTCAGTTGAAATGAGATAACACATATGCTGGTCCCTTTTGAACAGATTATACTAYAATATTCAAGGAATTCATCACAGGGTTCAGATCATCACATTACAATTTGCTTTCCCTAGGAGGTGTCTTATATTTCTTTTAAAGGCAGTTCTATTGATTCCATAACAGTTGATCCGACAAAAATTTCTCACTTCTCAAATTTTCTATTTATTGCACGATTTCTATCTCAGATAATGTTCTSTTGCTTACTGTTTATTTATTTATAGCCTGACTGAATGTGCATCATTACATCACCTCAATTGCTGGGAAAGTGGAACAGATAATCTTGRAAACCACTTCCAGAAGGATGAAGGACGAGGTGATRAGGAGCAGTCAGCATGGATTCAAGAAGGGGAAGATTCGTTTAACCAGCCCGACAGCCTTTTAGGATGAGAAGGCTGCCAGGGTGGATGAGGGGAGAGCAATGGGTGCTGTTCACCTTGCCCTTAGSGAGGCTTTGGCACTGCCCCACAACATCCTCCCAGCCTGAAGTGCAGCCTGGCTGAGGGGACACTGAGGGGCTGGAAACTGGCTGAACTGCTGGCCTCCAAGTGCTGTGATCAGCAGCACCAAGTTCCTTTTTTTTCCAGGGAAAGCTGGTATGTCCCAGGGGTCAATACTGGGGCCATTAACATCTTCACGAGTGCCAAGGAGGACGGGACAGAGCGTATCCTCAGCAAGTCTGCACTGCTGTGACGAGCAGCCCCCGCACCAGCAGGTTGTGCCACCCCTCAAAGGAACTCATTGGGACAGGGAGGAATGAACTTCCCAGGAAGTTCAGCAAAGGGAAGTGCAGAGCCAGCCTGGGGCTGACCSGCCGCTGCAGAGCAGCTTTGCCCAAGGCAACCTGGAGCTCCTGATGGCCACTCTGGTTGACCGAGTCAGGGAGTCACTGCGCCGGGCACAGTGTTGGCAGAGGGTGCCGGGTGCTGCCTCCCTGCTGGGCTCCCCAGCACCACACGGACTGGGGCTCCCGCAGCAAGCACGGCAAAGGCCTCAGGAAAACAGCTACGTTACGGCAGGGGCCTCCATCACTGCGTTTATCCATCAGGTGGACGGAAAAACAACAGATACACCCAGCATTTTATGCCATTAGGGAGGCACGTATGTCTCTGATGCAGGGAGAGAGATGACTGCATATTTAAAACACCCACATACAAAAAGCAAAAAGGAAAACCAAACACACACACACACACACACAGACTTTATGCCTTTGGTTTCTTTTTTTCAGCCACGGAGCTCAATGGCATGATCGAAAAATGAATAAAATAGCCTTCTCTCCTACATGGGAAACTACAGACACAAAAAAGCAAGAGGTTAGGCAGAAATCTCCAAATCAGAGCTCCAGCCAGTCACAGAACCTAGATTATCCACTGCACAAAATTGTTCCCAGCAGCTAAACATGGATCATATCAGATAAAGGGCTGGGTTTTTTAGTTTTTTTTTTTTTTTTTTGGTTGTTTTTGGTTGTTTTTTTTTAACATCATGAGCTATATTTTCCCCTTATCTAATGACAAGCACCACAAACAGCTGTGGAATGCCCAAATGTCTGGGAAGCTTTAAGAATATGCAGATATCCTTTCATTTTTAAAAAGAATTATGTTCAACTTCCACACTAGAGACAGCAAATATATATATATTTCTTCAGTACAAGCTTCAGTACTTACCTGAGGCATATTTCCATCTTTGGTGGAAATTTTATAACCAAAATTCACAAATGAAATCTTCTAAAATCCCTAGGGAATCCACTGTTCTCTTAAATCCACATGAATTATTACTTTCATTTCACTAAATAAAAGACAATCTGCCATTTACTCATTTTAAAAAAGATCATCACCTTGTCTGTTGACTATTATATATTAAAATTCCTCTTTGCTTTCCAGAGTAGAAGAAGGAGAAAGTTGAACCAAATATGTTTTCTCTCTGTCTTCCAAGATGCAATGTACAACAAGTGTAAGCAAACAGGATTTGGTTAACCAGGCTTTCCTCGAAGGATTCAAGTGGATTTGCTGCTCACCAATGGAGCCAGACTAGGCAAAGGGCTGGGGATGAGACTACGCAAGTCACGTTTCCAGAAGGGGCCTGCAGCATCTCAAGGCACAGGCCACAGAAGCTTCGTTCCCTCTGAGCTACTCACAGGGTCTGCACCGAGCTCCTGYTGCAGCGGCAGCCTGAGCACGGGCTTCTCCCTACCTCTGCCTTGCCTACCATTCTCTACCAGGAGCTCAAAAACCTAAAAAGCCAGAGGATAAATCACAAGTCTTTGTCTGCTAGTCCTCCTAGGCCTTTCATTCTTGTTTTTATATAGGTGCAGTGCCATTATAAGTCATTGCACAGGTCTTTTTTTGTCCAGGGATGCACTTTATCCAGAACTGCTAACTCACACTTGAAGCTTTGCAGTGATCCCAGCTTGGGAACAAGCGTGTCACTACTGAGGTCAACAAGATGTTCTACATGTGTAGAAGATCTATGCACCTCAGACCAACTCTTTTCATGCTTAGGGGCAGTACAATATCCTCTATGTGTTCCCTCTAATACTGAACGTGGTCGTAAGAGTTTGGGAGTCAGAACAAAGCCTCTGTGCTTCAGCAAGCCCTGTTCAAACACCCAAACTTCCCAAGTCTCACTTCTTTATCTAACAATTCCCAGGGTCTGTAAGCCTCTTCTAGGTGCTTTGCAAATGAGTTCTCTGCTAAGCCGCTCATGGCAGAGCTCACCAGCAACACCGAGCTCCTGACACTGCTCAGCAGCAACACCAAGCTCAGCACCTCAACTAGCATCCTCCGTTCTGAGTTTAAGATATAATGACTAAAACCCATTAAGGATACAGACCGTTTCATCTTGCACTTTGAGCAAGAGGCTAAACACTTTAATAAGTGCTAAGTATTAAATGTTGAAGAATGTGTTAAACCAGGCTGAGTTTGGGGGCTGGAAATTTAAATCTGGTCTTTTTTAGTATAGTAAGAAGTAGCAAGAAGTCACAAGAACACTTGAATGAGTAAGGGGCTGTTTTTGTAATATCCTGCTGCTATAAGTTACACTAAAAGTTGTTCAGGTTGCTCACATAAAATTCAGAGGAAGGAAGGACAAAAAAAAAAAAAAAAAAAAAAGAGCCTGTATGGATGTCATTAGCAGCACAAAGAGAAACAATTCTAAATCCCTCCCATTTCACCAGTTCATACTCTGGATTTTGACCAGCCATGACAGTAGGTTTCACATTGGTAAACATAACTCTTAACATCCAAGGCATAAATCCAAGCCGATTATTCACATTTTAAGAGTGGTCTTTAAAATGTTGACTCTTGCAGTTGAAAATAAAGTTATCTAAACAAGCTTGACCTTGATTTCTGTATTGGAAAACATGCAGTTGACCACAGACATATTTTTTATGTATATGTAAATAAATGCACACACACTTCTCTTCCATGTGGTTCCCAGTCTAGATGCTTACAAACAAAAGCAGCAGAGCTAATTTATATCTGCTAAAGAGCAGTTTTTTAGGAGACATAGGGGGCAAACAGCTACTTACTCTCATCAATCTGAGGGTGTTGAACCACAACCTGGAAAAGCAAACGGAGGACTCCGGGGTTCTGGGCATCCTGGTCGCAGCCCTGCAGGGACAGGTTGAAACTGCCAGCAATATTGGCAGGCTGTATGTCACTCAGCTTGAACACCTCTGGATTGCTCACTGAGCCAGGTATGTAGTACTCCACCCTCTCCTCTTTCCTTTCACAGTTGGAGAGACTGTAGTTGTGGAAAAACACACTGGCCCTCAGGTTGGACGGAACAACAAACTGCCACGTCATGAGCTCGTCCTCTGGGAAGCCCAGCGGGTAGTTGGGGGACATGAGGGTGACTGAAGACTCCTCCTTCAAAGTGGATTCAATAATGCATAACCCTATGGCAGGGGAAAAAAATACACACAAAATAAGCAGCAATTAAAGGCAGCTTATGGGAAGACACACACAACACTGTAGCGGTAGGGGAGTTATTTTGTTTGGTTTTGACAGTGGGATCATCCACAACAGCTACAGGCCAGGTTATTAAACTAACACGCACACTTGAGTTGATGCTATCAGCCTCGGGTACAGGAAAGGTAAGGACTGTGCTAAGGCTGTATTTTCAGATTAGTGGATTTGCCTTCCAAGCACATGGACAGATAGACCAGATCCTACTTCTGGTTCTGGCACATAAGGAGCAATGCAGTTCAAGACTGCAAGAATGAAGAATATGGGGGTGCCCCTCTTCCTTTCCTGACCATTTCAGCAGTGCTACGCAAGGAGAGGAGGCCTCGAATAAGTTGAGGGAGTTTTGTTTAAATATAAAGCAAACTACACATTGCAAGCAACAAACAATTCTCTTAGTTTATTCTAATTGTGCTGTCAAGTTGATAAGATTTAAAAATCATAAACTAGATATGTTTGTTTTAAGAAGTTTAAAGTGTGCACCAAAAGCAGCAACAATTTTCATAATCATTAGGGTAAGCAAGAGAGCTAGATTTTGACCCTAGAAGAGCAACAAATACCAAACGGAGACATCCACCTTTTAGAAAACAGGAAGCAGAATAAAATTAGGGACAGCAACACAGAAACTAGACACTGCGAGCAAGTCAGTGGAGCTGGGAAGTGGCAGTTCTCGATGCTTCTGTGCATATACTAATAAGATGGTGCCAGTAAGGTAAGACATATTAGTGGGAGCATCCACACGATAAAACCAAAGCAAGATGCAGGCAGGCATGGCCTCGGAGACATCTAGTTACTGCAGGTTAGCTGCAAACAGAGGTTTAGAGAATTCTGCCACAACCTGCATGAAGCAGTTATACTGGAAGGAAAAACTGAGAAAAAGTTATTGGCTACTTACTTTTGATGGAAGACCTATTTGCTATGTTAAATCCTGAGGTGACGGGAGACGAGTTCCACGGGAGATACAAAGCCATGATGACCCCTCCTTGCAGTTTGACCCGAGACACCGAGCCCCCTCTGCAGAAGGTGCCGATGTTGACCGTGGCTGTGTCGATGCAGCTGCTGATATTGTACCTAATGAAATCTGGACATGTAGCTCCTGGTTCAATCTGCCTTAACCATGGGGTGGCAAATTTCAGTTCAAGCCCAGCCTTTGTACTGGCTTTCACATCCCAGATGAAAGTCCTGTTAAGACGAGGTAGTCCTGGTGGGTATAGGTGGACATCTCCAAAAGGACATGGACCTGATACACAGTCTAAATGCGGAGAGAAAACAGCCATGACACACTATTGAAGGCCAACAAGTAAAGGAGAATTTGCTACTTTCCCTTTTGTTGCTATTTCTACAGTTACTAGGTTGCACTTAATGTCTCTCCTACATTCATAAAAAGGCGTTGCTGTAATGTGGTCAAATACTATCTCTAAACAGACCTCCTATACCATAAGACAGGATAAGCCAGCTCTAGGGCTGAGCCTAATACAAGGGAGTTACTGCCTGCAGGATTCTTGCCTTGCCTGCAGAAGTCAGAGAAGGTATTTAGTGAATAGCATAACGAAGTGAAAGAACAGAAGGTCCCGATTTCACCACGTCTTAGGGGGAGAATTTTGATTTGATGCCAATCAAATCTTCCCACTGCTTGTCATGAACTGTAACTTCACTTTCTTGATGCCCTGACAGATACCCCAGGCCCAGAATTTGCTGAAGTGATGAGTAATCACAGATGCCACTAAGTTCTGGAGAGCACCCAGGGACGTTTCCTTAGAGAAATCCAGATTAGCAGTATTCCAAACCAGGCAGCCAAAATAAGCAACGTTTGATGTATTCCTAGCTTCCCATTTATAAGGACAAAATAAATACCACAACTGTGATGGATCAAGTAGATCAAGAAGTATCGTGTTACTATTTACATGAACCATATAAATAAAACTGCAAAACATGAAGAGAGCTATCTTTAGATCAGAGTTTAAATACAACCTCAAACAACGAGGATACAGGCAAGGCCAAATGCCAAATAAAGTCTGTGATGCTGCTGATAAATCACACGTGTTCATGCCATGGAAGAGTAGGTTGCCACACTGGCATACACTGGGGTGACGTTCAACTTCAGTGAAGGCTTAGTTCTAACTTCCAAAATGTTCAGATTCTTTGCTTTAATAATATTTAGCTAATATATGGCAACACATATTGCTACAATATTTCTGTTGCCCTCACAGACTGAATCCAGATGTTTAATGTATAGCATGGGTGATATGTCACGAAAAATATTCAGAGGCTTTTGACAGGAAATAAGTTTGGTAGGGTCATAAACTGGGACAGAAAGGAAGGAGAAAGCAACAGATGCCACAGCCATCATTTAACTGTTTCTGAAATCACTGAGTTAAAAGAAGTCTGAATTATGACCTGCAGAATGAAAATTAACTTCTGTAACTTCCGTACTTCAGGTCATTTATCAATTTCCGAAGACTTCTCCTTATCCATGATTATAGGAAATAAATTACTACAGTAACAAGGACCCTCTTCCCGACCACCACCACAAAAACACAACAGGTATGCAGTTTTACTAGAGCAAGCTGACATGGGAGGGAAAAAAAAAGTGAAAACATGCATCTTACCAATATTCTTCTGAATTTCCATGATGAAATATTCCTCCGGAGTTTTACAAGTGAAGGTGAAAGTTACATTCTCCCCAGGCTTTATCTTGAGGTCATATCTGGGTAGATATTTGGCACGAATCTGACAGCCCTGTGGAGCCCCAGGTCTCAGTTTAATCGTAACGGTGATGTTGTCCGTGGTACGAAGAGAGACAGTAAAGGAAACTAAGGGAGGAGGAAAAACATATAGTGTTTAGTTACGAGCACGTACATGCACGGGCTGCCTGTCCACACGGTCCTGGGGACGCCGAGCCCTCAGGGGTGATGCCTCTATCCAGGCTCTCCAGTCTCGAGCACTGATCCTACACCCAATCCCTGCAGCTGCCCCAGCTCAGCATGGAAATTCTCCAGCTGCCGGCGTCGGGAGCCAGGCACTGCATGGAACCCAAGCAGCATTAGTTGTGCTCCAGTTTAGCTTCACCACTGCTATTTGTATCACGTTAAAACTAAGCAAACCAAACACAAACCAACAACCCCCCCAGCTATTCCTTTCAAATTTCTGATTGCTTTTGGGCTTTTATCTCAAAACATTAGCTTATGGGCTTTTATCTCCATCACACAAGCTGCTTCCTGCCTGAAGACACCCACAAGGCTGGGGCTCAGGAAACATGCTGAGAAGTTAAACAACCAAGTGGCCAGCTGCAGGCTGCAGTAGCAGGCCAAGCTCAGGGCCCAGCCGGGCTCCCTGGGCTACCAGGTCAACCTTCGCCAGACTAGAGGGGCCTGCTGATACCAGAGACAACCCAGAGKGCAAACCAGCTGATGTTTTCAAGAGCTAATCCATTCTGAGTTATTAGGACAGTGTTAAACAACTGCACAGTTTGATTTTCTCCAAGAGAAGAGACAAGTAAGGAACAACACAACACAACACAACATTTGACACAACAGCTTTGGGAAAGAGTGGGCCGGCCAACAGCTGCACATGGCCATGGTTTCCTACCCCGTGTCTTTCACAGTTCATTCACTGAAGACACACATGCCAGCAACGCAGGTGGCATCTGGGGCCTCGGATGGTCCCTCCTCTGCATCCCTGATGTGACTTACCCTGGACTTCAGGGAAAGCCTTTCCCTGGGGAAAGCACAGGGAGTATGAGCAACCTTCACACATTTCAAACCTTCTTCCAACACTACCTCAGCAGGAGCAGCCCTCGTGCCAAGTAACGGAGCCACAGAATAACCCTGTCATATTGAACGGGTAGGGGTTTAACTGACAAATAGGCCACACTTGACAGTTTACAACAACAACTTACAAGGTGCAAAGCAACTCTGGCTGGACATTCCAGAACACTGGAAAGGTTCTTTGCATCAATCTGATCTTTGCCCAAGAACAAGCCCAGCCTTGGCTGGGGCAAGCAGAGTGGCACTGCAGACAGCTGCATCTTCCCTCTGAGGACAAGGTAGTTGCCACGTTTTCAGCCATTGGTTTTCACTGGTCTCTCCTCCCTTTTGCCCCCCAAATCCTTGTTCCACTGTATGGATGATAGAGCCACAACGTCTGTAACACTCGTGGTTTTAGTGTTTATGGGAAAAACAAAAAAAATATAGGAGGACATAGGAATAGGGGTTGCTGTTGGGAGAGGTCCGAGCGGGGCATCGGCAGGGCTGCCTGGCACAGCTCTGCCCACAGGCCAGGCTGGGAATCCTCTCACCCATGGACTCCCACAAACAGAGAACCGGGCAGAGGAGGCGGCCGGGGACATCCGTGGGGAGCCGCGGAGCGTCCTCCCTGCCGCAGAGCGCAGGAGCGGGCACTAGGGAAGGCACCCGGAGAGCAGCACCCAGCGCCCYGGCCCCTGCCCGAGCACCCACGCACAGCAGSCAGCGCCCAGCAGCTGGGATCCTCMGCGAGGGCTGCCTGGAAGGGGCTGGGCAGCGCGGCCGCCAGCAGAGCAGCCCGGCGAGCCCGGACCAGCAGAGCCCTCTCGTGGCACCCGAGCACCGCTTCTCACCCCGGCCAAACCAACCCACGCACYTGAAACTGTAGCCTTCAGCAACACAGAAATAGGGATAAATCATCCGTGATTCACGTTCCTGCTTTTTTTTTTCCTCCTTCAATCACCATTTAAAGTTTCCTGATTTTTATAGCAGTACCACAGGGGCACAGGGCCTCACTGCCATGGCTTTGAACATCTAYCAATGAGCACAGGTTATCTTTTGCTGCCCCAAAACAGACTCCAGCTGCAGGACTGGAGAGCTCAGATACCAACACCTTCCTGCCAGCGACTGCAGGGCAGGAGAGGGCCAGGATCTCCGGGTATCATCTCCAGGATACCTGGCTACTACCATTTAAATTTTGCTAGTCTTGAGCCTCTCCTAGCCCTCTAGGCCCTTGTATATACACGCTTGAAGTCTAGAAATGTAATGAGCCCTTATGTATTTGCCTCTATGATCAAAGATTGTAAAGCAAACTACAAATGACAAAATTCTGTAGGTACTGGTAAAGAATCATTTACCCACCTTCCATATCATTAGTAAATGTATCAGTTATTTTCTTAGAGCTTTTACATAACAGGACAAACTTCTGATCTGACAACTTACACTGGACACCGCATCCCCTTCAAACAGTTAGTACCATGAAAAATAACCACCAGCAATGCCTGTATTTCTGCTCTAAACTAGGCCCTAGCAGAAAGCCTGATGCGTGTCACTCAAACCTGTCTTCACTGGGAGGACCTCAAGGGAGCACCTTGCAGAGCCCCTCCAGCGCAGCACCCCATGCCCCCCATGCCCTTGAGCTGCAACAGCCACGTACCGGTCCGAATGCGCGGCGGCTGACGGGGAGCGTTAGTGCCGCGAGGGACTGCAGATACAACAGCACAAGGGAAGCCCCAGCTCAAACCCTGCCCCTGAACCAAAGAAACACAGGCTATACGGGGAAGACATGAAGCTGGATATAAAGCACTGGATGAATTCTGCACTTAGGCACAACTCAAGCTCCCTGCAGTCAGTGGAGAAGCAGCCTACGAAACTTACTGAAACACAGGTTGAGCTTATAAAGCTCTCTGCAATGGGCTTCATCTTGTGATGATCCATCTTGTGATGATCTTGTGATGTGTGGATACCGGGAGTAGAAGGGAATATCCATAGGAGTAGAAGGGAATATCCATAGATTCCTTCTGCAAGGTCTATTAAAGCAAATTCACAGTGCTGCACACAAGAAAAGGCACATGCATTTCCTTCTCTAACGCAAGGATGTTCCAAACGCAAGCACAGCAGTAACAGGGGTAACTTCCAGGGATGAAGAGAATTAAATAGCAAAGCAAAGCTAGCAATAAGAGATGCTCCTCTTGGTTCTTCAAGACAAAGCAGTGTGAGAACACAAACAACTATTTCTAACTTGGTCTACGTTGTTCTCCACATCACTGTGTGCTTCTGTTTTAATATTCAGTGCCCCGAAGTGACATAGTTTTCCTCTTTATGTCATCTAGGTATGACTTAATAGTTTAACATCAGCAATTAACAACTACCAAACAAGCTTCCTTATTGCAAACTGTAACTATCACATCCCTCTACTGTTTAAGGAGCACCAAAAAGTCTGTTCCTCATTTTCTTGTGAAACACGTACACTTTTTCACTTTTCCCTCTTCCCTCTGAAACAGGGCAAGTAAATGGCCAAGCAGGCAGARCTGGAAAGCACAAAGGGCACCAAGAGAAAGCACTTCTGCACTAAGTGCTCATGCACAGCTAAGGCCATCGCTATTTAGTGAGAAGGATCAGGTTTAAGTATAGCTTTAAGCAGGTGACTAGCTTTAAAAGTTTCTGAGCTGAAAGCAAGGAATGGAAACTGCTAACGTTTTGAAAAAGTTGTATTAATCCTCCCACAATGATTAAAGCAAAGTATAAACTTCCCCCATCCTTGAAAGTCCTGACTTCAGTTTCCTGTGTTTCRGGGTGGTATCGAGGGCTTTATTGCTGTTAATTTCAGGTTTTGTGACCATGCATCATTTGATGTGTATGCAAATACCTCCACCGTGGGCAGTGACAGGAGACAACAGGCACACTGGAGAAGCCAGCCTAGCTCTCAGTGTAGGCATGCAAGACATGGGCAAAACAAAACTRTTGGTTCGAGCTCGCAAGAGGCAGCTCATGCTTCAAGACTCAACGGYGGCTTGAATAGGGTCTATTCACCATCATTTTCCAGCCTGAATAGGGACTATGGGTCACAGCCTTCCACCTGTAAAACAGGGAATCTGTCCCAAAGATCACAAAAGTGCCACAGTGATCAGTATCCAAACTCACAATACTGGGTGGTAAGAATGCACATCATATATCCAGCTAGATTGAACAAAGCTGTCTGACAGAAACTCATAAGAGCAGGCATTAAGCTGGGCTACTGTATAAACATCTCGCTAAAATAAAATTCTGCAAACATTTGGATGCAGAAGATAAGAGCTCCGTGCCATGGCTTCAACAGCATCGTCAGCTGCTACAGATGTGATAAACTACACTAATCAAGTTTCATTTTCTGTAGGAGAATGAAAACAAATGCACAACTGTACATCCAGTGATGTCAAAGTTAATTATTTAACGCTATTAAATAACTAACGAATGGCTAAAGAAAGTATAGTCATATGCAACACTAGAGAGAGGCTACTGAAAACGACCTTTATTGCAGTGCTTTCATAAGAGCCAGCCCATCTCCCCGTGACTCACGCTGAACTGTCTCTGCTCGTGCTCCCCTGCATGCCCTCCTGCTAGGACTGCCGGGAACCACGCGCAGTTCCTGTACAGGAGGACCCCGCGTGCATCACGAATGCTGCTCAGCGATGACCAACAGGATATCCCAGCAAGCAAAAGCAGCTGGATCTACTCTGCGCCTCCGCAACTGCGAAATCGCGGGGCTCCATGTCCCGAGGGACCTCTCCAGCCACGAGCCGGCCTGCGTGGAAGTGTTTAACGTAGGGAACTGATGTCATCCTAGTTTTTCCCTTCTAACTGATTTTGATCTTGATCCTTAACTATCTATTCAACTGTCCTAATTTTACCATGCATTTYTCTTGCTGCAAATTCATCGCTGTTGCTCCTGCTTTGGGACAGCATCTTCGTAGCCATTGCCTTCATCTCCTGGCAATGCTTCTCCCCTGATCACACCCACCTTGGCTTGCCTTTTCTCAACAGGGCCATTTCCAAATCTTTTGTTGCTTTCATTGCACTGAGAACTCTCT